TGACTTCGCCACTCCCGCCCTCACACCGAGCTTTACGGTTCGCGAAACCCTCCGACCCCTTCGCTTCACTTTTCGGCCCAGATCGTCTCGAGGCAGAGTCTTCAAGGCACCTTGGACTATTCGGCCTGGATCAATCTTGAAATTTGGGAAGGGGCTACTGCTTTCTCCGCTGAGTACACTCTTTCTCTGTTCGATCCCGACAGTCGATGCTCCAAGTGTGACGTCTGAACATCCCGCGGGGTCGCATGTCGCATCTCCAACACCCCACCTCTCTCTCCTTGAACAACCAGATAGTTAAGATCGACCAAATCGATCTGAACACAGGAACCCATCGTTTATCTATCAGTCATCCTCGGTTCCTTACAATCCGGTACCATGTACGCCGTAGAGGATAGACATCATCCCGTCCCACCTCCGCTCTCAATGGATCGCATCTCTGCTCCGTCCGTCCAGTACCCGTCGGGGCCCAACTCGCTACGGCAACCCGACCATTTGGCCCCGGTGACAAACTATCAAGATGGTCGCTCCTGGTCATTACAAGTGGTCCAGCAGCCCATTCGAGCTCGTATGTGTGGATTTGGTGATAAGGTGGGTGGTTTTCCCGCAATGACGGGTTTTTGTCACCTCCTAACACACCTCTAGGATCGGAGACCCATCACTCCCCCACCGTGTATTCGTCTGATTGTGCGCGATGCGCAGACGGAGAAGGAAATTGATATCAAGTATGTCCAACTAGATGCTCTCCTCCCTGGGCTTTACTAACCATTTCTCTCGCACTTTAGTGAGATTGATACCTCATTCTACGTGCTCACCGTTGACCTGTGGAATGCCGACGGTACCAATGAAGTCAACCTCGTCAAGCATTCCGCGACCTCCCCTTCCATCTCTACTGCCATGTCCTCCTCTTACCCTCCCCCGCCGCAAAGTGTTTCTCCCACCTACCAAGGCTATAACCAGAACCAGTACCCTGTGGGCTACCCACCGCAGATGAACAACTACTACGGTGGTCAGCAGGTGGCGTACCAAAACCAATACGGCCAGCCGGTGACGTACCCACAATATTACTCCGGTGGTCCAATGCCACCGTCCATGTCGCCCGCGGCGCAACCTGTTTCCGGTGGACCGGGTGGCATGTTCACTCGCAATCTGATCGGAAGTCTCAGCGCCAGTGCTTTCCGGTTGACAGATCCAGACAACAAAATCGGCGTGTGGTTTATCCTGCAAGATTTGAGTGTACGGACAGAAGGCACTTTCCGGTAAGTCCAATCGGATGGAGTTCACTTCAAACCACCGCTAATGGAAATCCAGTCTGAAAATGAGCTTCGTTGACGTGGGCACGTCGTCTGCCGAGACCTCCAACGGCGCTCCGGTCATCAATCACGGAACCGCACCCGTTCTAGCATCGGTTTTCTCTGAACCCTTCCAAGTCTTCTCCGCCAAGAAGTTCCCCGGTGTCATTGAGAGCACCCAGCTCAGCAAGTGCTTTGCGCTACAGGGTATCAAGATCCCCATTCGCAAGGATGGAGTAAAGGGTCCCCGCCGAGGTGGAGATGGCGATGACGATGATGAAGGCGACTACTAACAGAGCAATTCTTGGGTCTATGGTGCTCTACGCGATATGCGGGTGCATTTGGCTCAGCGTATGGTCTCAACTTTCTTTATCTTGGCTTTCTTTGTTTTTTTCTTTCCCTTGCTATTAATCAAGACGTCGGGGAGCAAATGGTGGCGCGTGGCTTACGGTGTTCTGGGCAAGACTCAGGCTTGCAGGTTTCAAAATTGCTGCACGGACCGGTGCTGGGGGGCTTTTCTGTCTGGTTTTTGTATCATGTCTTTCTTCCGAATCTTCTTTTTCCCTGGTTTTTTTGTTGGCCTCTGGCTGTGTCTATTCATATTCTCCGCGGCCGGCTGTCCGCACGTACATACACTGTTCTTTTCGGCAAATCAAGGTCCGGTTTGAATTGCTGCGTACTGAGGCTGGTTGCCCGGCATAGAAAAAAGTCGTTTTGATATCCAAATCCACTGAGATTGTGCAGTGATCTGCTCGGATAGGGTACTCTTCAGTACTATCCTCGAGCTTGTGATATCCACAGGCGTCGAGTGGGTACCGTAGATCGCAGCCTATGGCTTTGTATAAAAGCACGGTGCATAGTCCGTAATATACACCAGAGCTATTGAACGTATATCGGGCCTTAGTCCCACGGTGCTCTATGTATTCAGGATACACGTCATCAATCATCTCGATTAGCCAGCCAGCACAACGTACCATACGTATCACACATGCCAGACTATCCACTCAACGAAACCCAACCCACCACCATCGCCACACAATCCAGCTCACAGAAGACGTCACACCGTACCTGACAGAACACCGAAAACGCCGGACCTGACAGAACCCCGACACCACCGGACTGTCCAACACGAACCTCTTACCCCATCCACCCATCTGAACCTCAACAAGCTCCCAGACGTCGGACAATGCACACCACCCGTGGACACCCGTGGAACGGACTGACCTCACACCTCTCCTGGCTGATTCCACTCACCCAACCGCGCCTACCAAGTATTCTCATCTTGGATAATCACCCAACTGGCTCTACCAGTTCATGGCCCATTCATGGCCCATTCGAACACAAGGCTCCACCGTCTTCTAGGTGGAAACTTCCACACCACTACGTTATGGTGTGGTGTTCACTTTATATTTGCCGGGCCGGTGTCTGCAAGGTACGAGCAGATGAGGTCGCGGGTATGCGCGCTGCAGTGTTGCTGCAGGATATTATTAGCATATCGCAGCTGGCAACCTCGGTGCAGTTGCATGACCGAACTGCATCGGGGTCTTTGCCATTGTCCGATTAGCCGGCACCGGTTGTGATGAGATGCATGGTCCGGTGAGACATTGCATAGTGCTGCATGTTCGCCGGTTTGGGGAGGGCGTCGGTGGCGTCGGACGGTGTACGGTGTACGGTTCAATCCTTGGAAACGAAAATGTCCAGGGTTTCTCATCCTAGCTGGGTTCGTGCATCGGGCCGTTGGTGGGTCGAGGGTATTATCTGGGGAAAGTACGGAGTAGGAGGCGAGGTGGTGATGAGGCGTGAGGTTGGTAATTCCGCCCTACACCGTAGTTAGAGGGCTTGGGGTAACGAATAACGTATCGTGTAGATGTCCCTCGTATAGCATAAAGTGGGTATTTGCGGGTTAAGCCGACTGCGGCCAACAAATCTGGGGCATTAGAGAGGTGAAGTGGCTGATGTTCCAATTATAACCTGAGACAAGGGCGAAGATCTTCACCCAAACCCCCCGATTCCCCCAAGATGAGATGTTCAGTCCACCTCTGAGAACTTCAATCCACTATGCCATGTATCAGCCACTTGGGTTGGGGAAGAGGTGTTCCTTTCGTCTTTCGTCTTGGCAGTCGAGCTGTTCTCCATACCTCACATTCTCTTTGCCTTAGCGATGAAAACTGACTTATTCGATAGTGCCCAACCTCATCCCGTTGCAGGCACCATGCAGAAAAGATTATGAAATTCGAAACATGGAGTATGCAGTACACTGACGGTGTCTCAGACTCATCCAATTCACCATCTACCCAATGAGACCCTCGCCACCTCAGCCACCCTAGCGGCCATATCCGACACTCAATGACGGAGGGCCCCTTCTATGGGTTTCCCTGGTTCGGTTTCTCGGAACATGTGCAGCTTCTATTTCATGTTACATTCCTGATCGGTCTATATAAAGAGGTTCAACAATCGTCTTTCATTAGGACAATTCCAATCAAGCATTGATTCAACTACACAAAAACAACACAACAATACTACCAGTCTTTCAAACCTCAATATCCATTCGTCATGAAGTTCACTATCACCACCCTGGCCGTCCCCCTCCTGGCCGCCGCGGCACCAATCAACGAGCCAGCCGCCAACCCAGCCTTCGGCGTGATGGCCACCCGCTCCGGCTCGCCCATCCACTTCCTACAAATGAATGCCGCAGGCCAGAAGTTCTACCTCGGTGGAAACACCGCCTCCTACTGCCCAACCGAGGTGTCTCACTGCCCACCTGGAAACCAAACCGTCTTCGCTCCCGGTGGCAGCTCTCTGGTCAGTCACAAGCCACGCCACGCCCCAATCTCACGTCTAACAAAGAACAACCCCCGCTGACAATCAACAGGACACTCTGGTTCCCGGCGGCCAGCAGGTTTATGTCGACCCTAATGGAGCCCTCAGCTTCACTCAGGCTCACTCCGCCAGTATTCCGCCGGGCTCGGCCCTCGGCCCGTTCCACTACGTTGCCGATGAACCCTGGTCTCACTACTCCTTCGCTGGTTGGGGTGCTACCGGTTTCATGGCTTGTCCCGCTGATGATAACCGCTGGCAGGTGTTTGCTGCCATTCAGAATGCTACCGTGCCCCATGGTAACGTTGATGAGTGTCTTGGGTTCTCGGCTGTTGCTTTGACTTATACCGGGGATGTTCCTGCTTGGCAGTATATCTAGATTAAGGATGTGGTTTGTTTTTTCTGAGGGCTTCCTAGGTGATGTCGCTCTAGCTTTTGATATCTTGAATGTACCATATTTTACCCTCCTTTGCTATCTGGATCCAGATCGGATTTAAATAAGTTGACACCATTGAATCTATCTCCCGATTTTTCTAGATCTAGACTCACATGTATCGCGATGCCTGCTGTAACGGACCGAGAAGCTTGAGGAAGACCTGCATGGTTTGAAAGTCTCCAGCCAGACTTGAAATTAAGTTGAAGTCACGATGTCAGTGGCTGCCGGGATTGTCGAAGAAGGATCGCACGTGTCTCACTTTAAGCTACCTGGGATAGTACAAAAGATATCACAGTAAAAGAACAGGATGTATTCCGTGGGACCGCCAATGACTATGGAGCCCAAATGCTTAGCCATGACTTTATCAAAGGGCTCGCACGAGAACTGGTGATTGATCTGGGTGCGGACAGAGCATTTGGTAAGGCTTCTCAGCAACTGGGTAATGCTGATGTCTCTCCATGGGGTATGCACGCACCAGCTGGTTGGGGACCCTCCGCCTACGCTGTCTCAGGGGGGCTACAGTGAGATGGTGGTCGAGAGGGTTAGAGAGAGGAAGAAGAGAAGAAGAGAAGAGAAGAGGAAGAAAGGTGGTGGGAGCCCTTTTATACCCCCAAGAACACGCGCACCTTCCCAAAACGCACTCTTGCCCTGGCCCTACAATTTTTGTGTGCAAAGTTATTGTAGAGCTCTGCGGTGAACGTGTCTGTCAAGATGGAAAATTGATATTCATAGAAAGTGCAAGTAACATAAACGGCGTCCTCTTTTTAGCCTATGCCCCAGGCAGTAGACAGGACAGGGTTCATCAATCAATCCACACACGAAAACCACCATCTAACTTCCATGCACCCTATATTTGCAAGATCTAGTCCGAAACGGGAACACCTTTCGGAGTTTCAGTGATTCGCTTGTTTGTCCAGGCCACTAACCGTGGCGTGCAGTGCCTTGGAAGTCTCTGCCACTGAGTAGATAAGCCTACAGACTCATCATGTGAATTAAAATCCACGGAGGGTTGACTCTTGGGGGCTGAGGCATCCATGACCCCCTCAGTTTGAAGGTTAAAAAAAAGGTGCTTCTGCCAACACCCGCGCGTTGGACATAGCGCTCGTCTTGAATGCGTGCAACATCAGACGGCAAAGACCTATGCCAGACTCTCTGTCTGTCAAGAGCATGTTTGGGGCAAGTTGATGTCAATGGCGACTAGATCTAGTTCCGCCAGATCTTAATGGCTTTGTCTTTGCCTCCACTGGCGATCTTTTGTCCATCAGGACTCCAGTCAACGGCAAACACCTCGTCCTTGTGTCCGGGAAGGTCCATCTTGAGCTTGCCAGTGCGCAAGTCCCAGATTTTGAGAGTAGTATCCTTGGACGAAGACACCAGCATGCGCGAGTCTGCCGAGAAACAGCACTGGTAGACTGCCCCCACGTGGCCGCGGAAGGTGGTGATGAACTTTCCATCACGGCCGTTCCACAGCTTCACGTGGTTGTCGAATCCGGCTGAGGCGATGTAGGCCATGTCCGGCGAGAACGTAACATGGTTTACCTCCTTTTGGTGACCCAGCATCCGTGCAACAGGCTTGCTCGACGTGGATGGCTCCCACAGATACATTGTAAAATCATCACTGGCCGACACCAACCGCTCGACAATAGTGTTATTCACTGTCGCCGCCTCCTCGAACTTCTTGCGCGCAGCGGCCACCTTCTCAGCCTCAGTCCCCGGGACCTTGCCAGTGTGGTCGTGGTAGGAGGTGCGAAGAGCAAAGTCTGTCGACAGCGCGAGGTGGTTGACACGGTGGGCATGCGCCGCCAGAGTCTGGAGTAGGGTGCCGTCTTTCGGATTCCAGATCTTAATGGTCTTGTCGTGGGATGCAGTGTAGATCTTGCCAGTACCACCCCATCGCACACAAGTAACTGAAGACTTGTGGCCGGTGAGCACATGGTCAGTTACTCTCGAAACAACGTCCCACACGCGCACCGTCGAGTCCTTGGAGGCAGATGCTAGGCGCGGTCGCCCGGACTCCTGCACGTGGTACGGCTCCCAAGCCAGATTTGTGATCCACTTTGCGTGGCCCTTGAGCCCAGCGCCTAGCGCTGTGCCCTGCTTTGCATCCCAGAACCTTACGGTGTTGTCCATGCTGCCGGTCGCGATCATAGCGCCGTTCGGCGAGTATGCAACTGCTAGCACCCAGCTGGTGTGACCCTTGAGCGTATGTTTCGGGGTTCCAGTGTCACAATCCCAAACACGAGCAGTTGCGTCTCCACTTCCGGAGACCATGGTGGAGGATGAGACTGGGGAGAAAGATGTTGCTAGAATTGCTTCGCCGTGACCCGCGATGGAGGCCGCGCATCGTGAAACGGCTTTCACTCGGAAAACCGCCTGTGGTGTGTAGAAGAGCGATACAGTATCTTCGGTGGTCTTGATCCCGGGTTGGAGTAGCGAGTGGTACACATCGCGGAGAATGTCGATCGTTTGTTCCTCTTTTTCGGAATGGTAGGTGAATCGGTATGGTACCCGTCCATCATCTTCCTGGAAAGAAATCACTGTCAGTACAACACTCGATTGCCAAGTAGTCACGGGTCTCAAATCTTACATTTCCTTGTAATGTGTTCAACAAAGTCTCAAGGTTCTTCACATTCGCATCGGCGACTGGGACCGAGACCGCAGGCCCGGTGGGCTGCCCGGTTGCTTGGTCGAAGAACTGAACTCGAACACTACCCAAATCGGACGGAATACTCTCAATTTCTTGCTGCTCGCGGGCCTTATCGGCCTGAACGAGCTTTTGGCGCTTACTGGGAGGAGGATAAAGGGTCGCCATGGTTATTGATATTGAGGTCGATGGGGGAGGAAGAGAAATTTTGACAAGCAAAAATATCTCGACGCTTATCTTATCGGCCCTATCGATTTTACCCATCTACATACATCATCTCGGTCATGAGAGTTGGGCTTCACAATGTCGGTTTATTCATTGAATCCTCGGGATTCTGTTTCGCAATCGGTCTCCAGGAGTACAAGTAGACGTCCAACGGCAAGACCAACCACAACGGCCACCAGTGTCGCAGCCCAGGACATCATCTGTGCCGTCAGTGAATCGCGGGGCGTCTCGTCCACCATTGGCCTCGCATTTGTCAATCTCGCAACAGCTGAAGCCGTGCTCTGTCAGATATGTGACAGCCAGACTTATGTCAAAACAATCATCAAGATTGGTGTATTTGAACCTAGCGAGATTCTGTTCATGAACACTGCCAAAGAGTCGAAGCTCCGCTATATGATCCAAGAGAATCTGCCAGATCCTATCTTCACCTTCATGGACCGCAGATGGTGGTCAGAGCAGACAGGTCACGAGTATGTAGATCGACTGGCTTTTCCAGAGGAAGTGGACTCTCTTAAGGTGACTCTGGGCGGGAACTACTTCGCAGCGTGTTGCTTTGCCGCAGTATGAACACCACTCATCTTGCCAAAATGAACTACTCACATTAGTAATTAGGTCCTGAAGTATGTTGAGGTCGAACTCCAGCGATCTTTTACCACGCATTCTCTTCGGATACGGTTCGAGCCGTCTCAGGGATCTATGACAATTGACTTGGCGACTATTGTGTCCCTTGAACTTATCCAGAACCTGCACAATGCGAAATCTAAAGAAAGCTTGTTTGGACTGTTGAACGAGACATTGACGCCTATGGGGGCCAGACTACTCCGAGCTAGCATCTTACAGCCTTCAACAGAAAGAGTCAAATTGACAGCCAGATACAACGCTGTGGAAGATCTGGCCACCAAAGAGGATATGTTTGTGTCTGTGAGGCAGGCTCTCAAGGGCTTTATGGATGCAGATAAAGTGTTGACTGCGGTAGAGTCTCCGAGGCTAGCTAACTTTGAAGACTCATGCTAATGAATTGTCAAGATCATCTTGGTTCCCACCAAGCGGACAATCCAATACGTTGAACAGTCCGTCAACAATGTCATCATGCTCAAGACTTATGTGTCTGCGATCAAAAATATCTTCCAAGCGCTTGGAGCAGCGCAAAGTGATTTGCTGCTTACCATACGCGAAGTAGCCTCGATTTTCCTTTGGTGTCTCACTCAAACTGACGCAATTTAGTTGTGCGCTCCTGAGGGGCATCGTTCAATTGAAGAGCTGATTGTCATGACATTGAATGAGCATGTAGCCTATCAGTCAAAGCCACTTGATCTGAGGAACCAGCGCATTTACTGTGTCAAGGTCACAACTTGCATACTGCTGCGCTGAATGCAGATCGCTAACACGTAATAGGCCGGTGTCAACAGTCTCCTCGATGTTGCGAGACATGCCTATAAGGAGGCGAATGCAGACGCCACTGAGCTGGTTGAAAAACTATCAGGCATGTCTGAAATTGTGACCTTTCGTCAACTATTCTGACCCTTTCTCAGAACAGTGTGATATGGTCTTGGACTTGAAGTTTGACGCAGCCCGACAATACTACATCTGTATCCCTGCTACAGAACCAGGTCCACTGCCGAATATTTTTATCAACGTATACCGCAAGCGAAACTGCGTCGAGTGCCAGACATTGGATTTGGTCAAACTAAATCAAAAGATCACCGATTCCCACAGCGAGGTGATCAACATGAGCGACCAGACAATCCAAGACCTGCTCCGAGACGTGTGCACCGAAGTATCCGGGCTTTTTCGCGTCAGTGAAGCTATCGCAATGCTAGACATGTTAGCGGCATTCGCTCAGCTAGCAACAAATCATGAATACATCAGACCAGAGCTGACCGACACTCTCGCCATCAAGGCGGGGCGTCATCCGATCCGAGAACAGATTCACAGCAGCAAGTTTATCCCAAATGACGCATATGCAACACCGCAAACAAGATTTCAGGTCATCACAGGATGCAACATGAGCGGCAAGTCGACTTACATCCGCACCCTAGCCCTGGTAACAGTCATGGCGCAGATAGGCTGCTTCATCCCAGCCCAATATGCCTCGTTCCCAATCTCACATCAGCTCTTCGCCCGCGTCGCTACGTCGGATGACCTAAATGCCAATGTCTCGACCTTTGCAGCAGAGATGCGGGAGATGGCATTCATCCTTCGTAACATCCAGCCACGCAGTATGGTCATCATCGACGAGCTAGGCCGTGGCACTAGCACAACCGACGGCCTTGCCATTGCCATCGCCTTAGCGGAAGCACTAATCTCCAGTAATGCGCTGGTCTGGTTTGTCACGCACTTCCACGAGTTGGCACAGATTCTTGCCGAGCGTAGCGGTGTGATCAATCTCCATTTAGCAGCAGAGATATCATCCGATGCATCCAAGATGACCATGCAGTACCGCATTGCAGAGGGTCCTGTTCCAGATCGTCGATATGGGCTTGTTCTCGCCAAGCTTGCTGACCTCCCACCTGCCGTCTTGAACAAGGCGCACTCCGTATCAGAGGCAATGGACCAGCTGGCTAAGCGCAGGAACAGCCCATCGCGTGCTGTTGCTATTGCCCAGAAGCGGAAGTTGCTATTGTCTCTGCGTGAACAGTTGTTCCTTGCCCGTGACGGCACGATGGATAACGCTAGTCTTCGGGCTTTGTTGATCAAACTGCAGGATGACTTTGTGCTGCGCATGACAGCCATCAACAGGGAAATGGAGTTGTACCCCAGTGATGAAAGTGAGACGGATGCTCCTACAAAATCTGTTTCGAGCTTTTCCGTTCACACGCCTGAAACCCAAGCGTTGGGTTCGAGTGAGGCCAACAAAGTAATGGACAGCACACATGTGTCCGAGCCTCATTGTGGTCGAATCGAATTCGCATAGTGTGTCGGAGCATGTCATTGACAATGATAGTGTGGTGTTGGTCTGAAGGACTTGATAGTTAATAATGGGCAATGATCTGGCATTTCATTGCCCCATTCCTGGGTATCATATTTGTGTACTTTTATGATGACAGCTTGGTGATTTGAAAATTTGTGAAAGACACATCGTTTCCTAATATATTATATCAAACACATTGAGCAAAAACATATAGATTACCTCTATACAATACATTGTATCTACATTCGCTAATTAGTAGGCACAACAAAAAAGAAGAATGATTTACCCCAGCACATCATGTACTTTTTAATGGCGCTCCCCTCATGCGGCGATCAATAAAACATGGGCGAAATCTAAGCCCAGCCAACAAAAGAAACCTGAACACAATCGATATGTGACGGGGGATCAACCAAAGTGGAACAGGGTTTGCTTCCCCTTGTTCTTCTTTCCTTTCTTGCCACAACTTGAGTCGTCATTGCTGGGTTCCGCCGGAGAAGCGGTTCCTGAATTCGAGGCTGAGCCCCATGCGTTCGGGGCAGGGCCGCGGTTATCATTCCAACGGACGGTGCCACGAGTCTTGCCAGCCATGAGAACACTGGGCTTGGCCGCTGCCGGAAGAGCAGGGAAAGAATCAGCGCCGTTGGATGCGGGTGCGGCGGGCGTGCGGCTGGGGGATGGTGCTGTAGATGATGGCCGGCTGACCGGGCTAGGCATCGCAGGACGGGGGAAAGATGGAGGGGCTGCTGTTGCCCAAGGGGTAGCAGCGGAAGCCTTTCCACGGCGAGAGGATGGGCCTGCCGCGGCAGAGAGAGGAGGGAAGGGGTTAGAGGGGGCGTTTGGGAGAGCGCCGCTTCTGCCCACGGCGGAGCGGGAAGATTTGGCAGTTGATGATTTCAAACGTAGGACGCGATTGCCGGCAGCGTTCACAGCGCCTGTTGACATGCCAGATAAGAGGCCGCCAGCTGGAAGGGCTGGATAATCCTCATTGATAGCACGCCAGTCATTCCAGGCTCGCAGGAGATCGGAGCGTTTGGATTCATCCTCGTAAATCTCAGCGAGCTCCTTGATGAGCTTGCCTAGCTCAGCGCTGGATGTGTCGAATAATGAGAAAAACGCATCAATGAGCTCAGTTGCCGAGATAGAAGAAGCGCGGTAGTTTGATACTCGACTACGGAATTCGGCGAGTTTGGTGGCATCATTGCGGAGGAGGTTCGAAGCACGTTCAATCACAGCTTCGTGGCGCATTCTGCGGGTCTGGTCTTGCAAGGTAGCTGTTGCAGAGTTGGCAGAAATATTCAAGCCTTCGAATGATGCAGCAGGAATAGCCTGAGAACGCGATGCGGGGCCAGACTGCACTGGCGTGGCAGCGACGGATCGCTCTGGAGCACGCACAGGTTGCACGTCATCTCGGGTCAGTTGGCCGCCAAAGTTTCGTGTCGATATCGACTGCGAACTCTGTATAGCTATTTGACGCTGGTATGCAACTTCGGCACGTGTCATTGGCTGTGCACTGGAGACTGGCAGTGGCTCGGCGTTGGGGTCGCGGCCTCGACCGGCGCCGCGACGCTGGCGTTGCTGTTGGTAAGGAGTGCGCATGTTATCAAATTCAGCTAGATCAACCATTCTCGCATCTCGTCGAACATCCTTAGAAAGGCCTTCGGGATGTGCCTCGATTTGGTGAGCTTTCAGGTCCATTTGTGACTCGAAAACGACAAACTTTTTTTCCAAACATTCTGTATCCAGACAAGCGAAATGATCCTTATGAAAGTGATTCTCCAGTGCGTTGTAGTCAATATAGTACTGTTGTTGACGGTGGGAGGAGCGTCGGTCACAGATGTGGCAACGTTCATGTTTATCACGGCAATGAGTGTAAAGTTCGTCGTCGCCATAGAACCGTTGGCGACAAAAGCCACACTCGGGGTGTCCCTTGAAGCCACTCTGGTCTATAGCTCCAGGTTTGTCGTCGCCAGACTTTTCGTGCTTACGCAGTTCCGCCATAGTGAATAGTTCATGCTCATGGGTAAAGACCTTCTTGTTACGAGTACAAAGATCACTATTCAGAGGATAGAGTCAGCTTCTGATTCAAGGATTGTGCAGGCCATGAGATCGACATACCACATAACTTTGCTGTGCTTACTCTTTACATGGCGGTGCAAGTCTGGCCACCCCAAACAAGCAACATCGCAGCCCTCGTCCGGACAGTTGTATCGCAGCAGCAGCACTGTATCTCCGAAGATCTCATCACTCTCATATTCGATGCCAAGATTATTGTCCTTCCGAGCAAAATCCTTCTTGTTAAACTCCTCATATCGCCGCACCGGATCATCTGTGAAAATCACGAAGTTCGATTCAGTCTAGTATCCTCCAAGTCAGCACGTGAAACACAATCATAACGAAAAGCACCTCGACTCGTTGAGAAACAGTCCCAAGATGAACATACCCTGCAATGAGCACAAGCTTTGTTCTTGTATAGTGCCCGCAACCGAAGCGCACAAATGTGACACGTCCTATGGTTACAGGGGGAGACTGAAAAATGTTCGACGGCAGAAGCGCAGATAAAGCAGACTTCTCCATCGTCTGCATCATCCGTGGCCGCTTCTACCGGTTGTTTCGTTGCCGGCGTCGTGGCCTTCAAAGGCTGAGCATCGTGATTGTTGTTGGTCTGATCGGTATTGCGAGCTTGTCGGCCTGCATCGCCGCCGCCACCGCCGCCACGACCACCGCCGCGGGTGCGAGGCTTAGGGCGTTTTTCTCTATCGCCGATATTTTGTTGTGAATCTCCACGGCCGGAGGGAGCTCCCCCTCCGCGGCCGCGACGACGCCCGCCGCGGCCTTGGCTGGTTGACTCTGGGGTTGAAGCCTGGTTGTCGGTCATTGCGGACACGGGGAGAAATGTCACAATTCAAGCTGCAGCTTAGCGTCAGTAGCGGGTGTGTTGGAGCTGCAGAGCTCAAGGGTTTGTGGATTGTGGTGGGGGAGAGGTTCTAAGGAAAAAAATGAGATGTCGCTGACTGATCCCGCATTCCGCATCAGATGCGGAAGTGAGGTCTTCCACTGATCACTCTCTTTGTATCTTTGACATCACGAAAGTCCATTTGAGTGATTGGGTGGCCCATAGAGCTTCAAAAGGTATGGCTATGCCCACTCCCCCATACAAGCACTATATCAGTGTTGGCCAGATTCATCAGTTTGTTGGTACCGGCCTGCTTCATCAGGTCGCAATATGATAAGCTGAGAGCTGAAGCATATACTGTTTGATTCATGTCAGTAGTAACACCACTATCTACAAGTACCAGTGTATAGACACCAAGCATAGTCAGCCGCGTTGGCCTTGTGACGTCTTTTTGGTTAGTCTTTTCAGATGTCTTGTCGGCGTCAGTTTCGTAGATAGACGGCAGAAAAAAGCGGAAAGAGGCTTGACTTGTGAAATGGACTTCTTGATGACTTTCCAAGGTTGGATGGAAAGTTTAACAAACCAAGGAGCATCAGGAGCTGCCCAGAGAGCAAACGTCGAGATCCCTGATCTCCACTTGACCTACGAGCACACACTGTAAGCTGTTATAATCTAAAGTCTACATGGGCAGGATCTGCGCAAATGTAAATCGTGTAGGTAGTGGATTCTAGGACCTTGGGGACCGTAAAATCACCTATGGAGGGCTTCCACCAACTCCCGCTGGAGAGCATAAGCAAGTCAAATCCAGAAGAAATAAAAAAGGCGAACGGAAATTGCTCAAAGTTCACGCCAGCATCCCCATGCATCGCAAAAAAAAGGAATAATAAAAGACGAAGGAAAATCGTTAAGCAACAGGACTTGGTTTGGAGCCTGTTCTTCCACAATGATCGAAGTCGTTCTGTCACCCCCGGACTATTCATCGGGATTGTACAAATTCTGGTTGAGAATTTTAGTCATGGTAAACATATGGACTCGATCTTGTTTGAAGACAGCACGCATAGCATCGTCGCATCGGATTTGGCGACGATCGCTGGGGTCTTGAAGCTCGTTCTCGCGAATGTATTGCCAAACCTTTTTGACAGTTTGGGGTCGCGAAAGCTGTGCGAAATTTAGCTATTAAGGCTCGGCGATCAAGAGGGAGAGCACTCACTGTGGGTTCTCCCAGAAGTGCGGACAGAGGTTCGGAAAGGTTCATAGGTTTCTGTGGTCATGTTAGAATTGATGGAAAGCTTGGCAAAGATGATTCAGAAAGGCATACGTGGAACCCAGTATTTCGGTTGACCTCCTTCTTTGGCTCGTCGCCTGAACCAATATCTGAATCATCTTCTGCCTTGACCCTCTTCGATATCTTGGCTTTGCTCTTCTTCTTCACAGGGGCTGCACGCCGAGTATTGCCCCCACGGGTAGGTCGCGCGCGCGAATTCTCTTCGGCTTGCAGCTTGGCTGCGAACACCGCATCCGCATCAGTATCGCTCTCGGGCTTGCGTTTCTTGACAGGAGGCGATGCGCTCGCAGGCTCGGAAGTAGAATCGCTGGAGGCCTGGCGCTTCGCCGGAGATAAGGATGGAGGCGGGGAGGGCACCGCAGCTGGAGCCGAATCACCATCGCGCTGATCAGTGCTTGAGATAATTTCATCAGGCGACCCGCCCACGCCGTTTTGTTCCGCATAAAGATCGAACCGTTCCATGATCAGCTGCTTGATCGTAGACTTTGCGAATGTCAGCCAGATTCCTTCGCCAGTCATTTTGAACGACTTCAAAATGATGCTGCGCCATAAGAGTGCCGTAACTTGACTGACCTTCATCGGAGTAAGATCATAACCAACGGCATCCTGAAGACCTTTGCGAATTCGCTTCTCGGAGACGGTAGTGAGGTCGCTTTTGGCCAGAATATCGTCAATTATGTCGATGTATTTGTCGCGCAAGTCAGTAGTCACTAGCGTATAAGATCACCGATCAGTTGGGAGCCCTTTGGGAGAATCGGCAAGTAGGCGCCGGGGCAACACCAAAGTGGCTCACATGACATCTTGTTGCTGGTAGATCGCGTGGATCAGTTGCTTATGTTCAGATATAGGAGCTGGGTTAAGATGTGCGGTTTGCAATTGAGGAAATCGTGGGTTCTCTAGAGGAGTATGGGGGCCGAGAAGGAGCTCGGAGTTGTCCGGTGGGCTATACTCAAGTCGCACTGGCGCTTAGGATCGGCGGGGCATTGGAAACAGAGAAAGGCCAGGCAAATTAAGTGCAGAGATAGGAGGGTTATAAATGCGATAATAGACAAAGGCTTGGTCAGGCAAAGAGCTTAGTGCAAGATATGCAGTCTCTAAGAGATGTTGTATCCAAATTGAGAACCTCTAGAAACGTCTATGATGATTGACGGGCCCGACTTCAAGCTGGGGAAATCCTGACTCAGCAGCGCTTACCTACAACATGGGTTGATTCCAAGATTGATGCCTGAATGCCTTACTTTAGAATAGCAGAACCCCTAACCGGGCTACTCTCCAGCACTGCTTCCACGGTTAAACAAACACTGAATAATTTTTCATGATTTACATTAGACCGCATAGAGCGGTGTAAAATGTAGTGCTAATTTGGGCATTCAGGCATCGAGATCCTCCTGTTTTGAATCCACTGGCACACACTCGGATTGTATAACATACTGCCAATCAAAAACCTCCGCAAACTCAAATTTAGTATGGTGCGTGCCTGTCGTTCAAGGTAGGCGGTATTAGTCCATGGTGGCGGTGAGCCGAGTAGGGCTATAGGGATGCAAGAACTTACACATGTCCACTGACTGTACCTAGTTATAACATAGGATTGCATCGTACTCATACATGTATTGCACTAAATATTAACTGAAGTGTGAAACATGTTATCATTATCAACACAATAGCATCTGGGCACATATACTAGACAGCCGTCCTTTTACCTTCCGAACCCAAATCTCCCTCTATAGTACTTGGATACAATTTTCGCAATGTTAAAGCTATTGGGTTTATCTCTGCATCCCGTGTGACACTGGATGATCCAGCCGTGACAGAAAAAGTGAAATTAAAACGAGAGCGCAATCACCACCTACACAGCCCTGTTGGCTTTTTTTTTCAACGCCAGGAGAGGCAAATATTCTCCGCGAAGGACCTCGCTGTTGACGGATGACAGCAATTGCTCTCCCAGATGTAGAATCACTCTTGTTAGACGAGAGTCATTTTCGGCCCCACGCTACCTTGCATCCTAAAATAAAGGTGGATTCCTGGGATATTCGAGATCCAAACTAAGAGAAAAAGGCGTTCGTCTCATAATCTGGGAATGTTCATGATATGACAGGAGGAATGATCTAGTCAATGGATTTTAATAAATATCATCCAATCATCCAGGACAATTCGCGAGGACCTCATCTTCAGTAGTGAACGTCGCCCGTGGGCTACAGGTGGGTGCCTTACCAAAAGCTCACCTTGAAAATTGCGCCAATTTACGGCTTAGACTCCTTGGGACCTTTAATTTCTGTGTGTGTGAGAGATCATACACGTATCAATCAACTTGACGTGCCAAGTGGCACGGTTCTTATCTGACGATCGAATCTCTACGCCACCGTGCGTACCTTCGAACCTTTGAACTACCGTTACAAACGAGTACCCATTGCACGACAAATTTTAATAACTTAGCAATGGTTCTCGATGTACGAGTACTACGATATAACTACGAGAATACCATAGAGCACGAGTCAGCGCCAGAGCCAGACAGCCTCTCCCCGTAGACCCATATTATTCCAAAACTAACGACAGTTTTTGCATACAGTGCTAGCGCCCGAGACCCACGCCAGTGTGACAATCATCAGTTTCTGACTTCTGTCTCTAGTTAAGCAAGAGCATCGGTCATTGTATATAAGCCACCTAAAGAACAGACAAGTGCAATACCAGAGAGAAGCATGCCAAAAGAATCGCCTGGTGTGGACCAGCGTGCATAGTGCTAGAGGCACGCCAAATATGCTAGCCAAGGAAGCAACTTAGGGGAAAAGGGGATAGAGATGATTATTTTTCATTATATATCAAATGGGGTTTCAGTGAGTGACTGGTATTGAAATCATAATACAGGCACGTAACTAGGCTGGTTGCTCCTTTAGCTCTCCTTCCTTTACTCAGTCTCCGATTTGGTGTAGCACAATACACATTTTTCCTCTCTCTTCTCCGAGCCTCTCAAAAATAGCGTATATGAAGTGGCTGCTCTGTGATTGTACCATATTTTCTGGTATTGCCCTAGTTATTGCGGAGCAGGAGTAAGACCACGGGCACACTTTTTTGACTTGTGGTACAATTTCCACTAAGCTACTTTCGGTATTTTCACCGCTGGCCGCTATAGTAGATTAAGTCACCCGTGCTCACGTGATATTGTTTGACACATCACGTGCCCTGGCACTTGTACACTTCTCTTGCACAAAGGAGGCATTTTTTTACCGCCTTCACACACATGTAAGGGACATGTAAAAAAAACTTCAGTTGAAAGACATGAAAAGGCCGCACCTTTGGCCGGCCATTCTTGCATACTTCAATGCATCCCTAAGAGGGTTCAAACTACTCCGTGCCACGTGACAAAACCCCCTTAATCACATCGTAGTTGATCATATGTACGGGGTGTAGTGTAATCGTGTAATTGATAATAGCGGCTAGAGACATTCTGTATTCTAGTGGACAGTCAAAAAAAAAGTGTGCCCGTGATCTGAGCAAAGTTAGTAGAGAGGTACTTTGCACATCCAGATCCAGCTCCGTCACGTGTCATTTAGACCTGAGGCATAAGTGACAGATGCTGACTCAGTGCTGAGTCAGTCCACACAAAGAACCCGCTTGGCCGCCGCGATTTGTTTCTGCCCGAAAATCCATCAGCGGATTGCACCGATCTATCTTTGCTCCGAAGCCTCAAGACGCCTTCGATATACCCATCATGGCGCCCAGTTTCGATACCCTGTCCGAGCAGGACCTCCACGAAGAAGTGGAGGAGGAGATTGATTTCTCCGGTGAGTGCAAGATTTCTCGTGGTCTGTGTGCCCCTCTCTCTAACACGACAGTCTACAGATCTCAAGGAGCAATATGAGGTGAAGGTCGAGGAGGGACTGGATACATTTATCGTCATCGATGGCCTCCCCGTTGTGCCCGAAGAAAGCCGACAAAAACTCGTCAAGTTCTTATTGAGAAAACTCAACTCCGTCGGCAGCACCTCCGAAGATGCGGTTTTCATGCCCGTTAACGACAAAAAGATGACCGAAGGGTGCGTATTGGATATGAATGAGATGTGGAGGAGTAATGAACGATTTCTAACTTTCATTGGGGCAATATAGTTTCGCATTTGTGGAATATCAAACCCCGGAAATGGCTGTTGCCGCCGTCAAGCAGTTGCACGGCGTTCCTCTCGATAAGAAGCACATTATGGCTGTTAATAAGCTGATGGACATCGAGCGTTATGGTCGTGAAGGTCGCGTGGACGAAGAATACAAGGCACCCGTCCCAGAACCATTCAAGGAGAAGGAGCACCTGCGCTCGTGGATGGGAGATGCCAGCGCCCGGGATCAATTCGCCCTTTACCGTAACGACAAGGTTGGCGTGTTCTGGAACAACAAGACAAACCCCCCGGAGAACGTCGTGGATCGCGCTCACTGGACACAACTTTTCGTCCAATGGTCCCCCAAGGGCACATTCCTTGCCTCCGTCCACCCCCAGGGTGTTCAACTCTGGGGCGGCGAATCCTTCTCCAAGCAAAAGCAGTTTCCTCACCCCTTCGTTCAGTTGATCGAGTTCTCCCCGCTTGAGGGCTACTTGACAACATGGTCAGCTCAGCCCATCCAGGTCGAAGAAGGCCAACCTATATTGACCTACGAGGAGGACGGCAAGAACATCATTGTCTGGGATATTGAGACTGGCAAGCCTCTCCGCTCTTTTGTGTCACACGATTTGGCTGCTCCTACCGAGATTGAGGGCGATGTTGCACCTAAGAAGAAGGTGCAATGGCCTGCCTTTAAGTGGTCCGCGGACGAGAAGTACGTTGCTCGCATGCTCCAGGGTCAGTCCCTCTCTATCTACGAACTTCCCAACATGAACCTTCTTGGTCGCACTTCCGTGAAGATTGAGGGTGCTATGGACTTCGAGTGGTCCCCTGCTACCGTCGCCCGCGAGGGTGTCAAGCAGTACGAGCAATTGCTCTGCTTCTGGACTCCCGAAATTGGCAGCAACCCCGCCCGTGTCGGTATGATGAGCGTGCCCTCGAAGGAGGTTGTCCGAACCCGTAACCTGTTCAACGTTTCCGATGTCAAGCTGCACTGGCAATCACAGGGTGCCTACGTCTGTGTCAAGGTCGACCGTCACTCCAAGTCGAAGAAGTCTATGGCCACTAACTTGGAGATTTTCCGCGTTCGCGAGAAGGGTGTGCCCGTTGAGGTTGTTGACAGTCTTAAGGATACCGTGATTAACTTTGCCTGGGAGCCCAATGGATCCCGATTCGTCGTTATCGCCAACGGCGAGGCACCAACCGGTGCCGCCGTCCTCCCCAAGACTTCCGTCTCCTTCTTCGCGCCTGAGAAGAAGGGCTACACTGCCGGTAACTTCAAGCTGGTGCGCACTATTGAAAAGAAGACTAGCAACGGCATTTACTGGTCGCCCAAGGGCCGATTCGTTGTTGTTGCCACTGTCCACTCCCAGTCCAACTTCGATCTGGACTTCTGGGATATGGACTTCGAGGGCGAAAAGATCGAGGCCGAGAAGGATCTCGCAGCCAACCTCCAGTTGATGAAGACCGTGGAGCACTTCGGTGTCACCGATGTTGACTGGGACTCCACCGGTCGTTACGTTGTCAGCAGCGCCAGTGTGTGGACTCACTCGGTAAGACTCAACCTAGTTCGACTTTGGATAATAGTTCATTACATTGACCGCATCATAGATGGAGAATGGCTGGAACATGCACACCTTCTCCGGTACCACCCTCTCCGAGAACCCCACCGAAAAGTTCAAGCAGTTCCTTTGGCGCCCACGCCCTGCCACTCTCCTCAGCAAGGAGGAGCAGAAGCAAGTGCGCAAGAACCTCCGCGAGTACTCAAAGGAGTTCGACGAGGAAGACAAGTACGCTGTCGATATTGCCAACACTGCCGTTGTCGAGACCCGCAAGCGTGTACTCAGCGAGTGGCTCGCCTGGCTCCGTCGGGAGAAGGAGCTTTTGGTCGAAGAGAAGGAGACTTTCAACCATCCCGAGGACGCAGATTTACCCACGGCCGCCAGCGACGCGCGCCCGGTTGTCGAAGACCAGGGCGACTCTGTGGTCGAGGAGATTGTGGAGGAGATTATCGAGGAGACCGAGGAGGTCATTGGCTGATGAATCCGTCTGTTCTATTTTCGCAAATAATGTGTTTCCTTTTGTTCCTCTTTTCCCCCTGTTTCTCTGCTGGCGTTTCGCGCTTGTGCCTGAACCCAGCCTTCTGTCCCCTTGTGTTTCTTTTAGGTCCCCTGGGAAAGCCCAGTGAGGATCGGGACATTCCAAAAATCAATAGATCGAGCGGTGCGCCTCCCGACCAAATGTGCAATGTGGATAAGCATGAGAGATGGCTACGAAACCAGTTCCTAGCAAAGTTCAACTTTGTATTTCTTGTTTAAATCATCAAAATGTAAGCTAAGATCAGATGTAAAGCCCCCTTCCGACCCCCACCGTTCCCAATGCCACCAACATCATCCCCAAGGTCGAGTCCCGCGCGAACCGCATGGCACCACCTGTAGATTGACTCTGACTCCCAATTGTAGTGGATGTCGCGGCATTCGGCGACGGCTCGGGCACAGACGTGGAAGAAGACTCGGGAGTCGTGGACGAAGAAGACTTGGTTGAAGACGAGGACGAGTCAACGGCAGGCTCCTTCTTTGGCAAGACGTTCTTCCTGAAGTAAGAATCATGCTGGCCCACAACATTTCCAGGGGGTGTATATTCGCACACCACGTACCACCCCTGGGCCCTCGGCTCGCCTCGCACGACCTTCAGCCCTTCCAAGCCGTCTCGTACCGCTTCAACCCTGCTGAAACGAGACGCCATCACCACGCCTTCGAGAGCATCATCTTCAAATGCATGCGCTCGCACTTCGACCCCGTTGTCTCGTTTCCCATTGTCATTCTTAGAGTACCCACAATTGACAGCAGCACACCCAACCTGCGTAGTCGACTTCCAGACTAACTGAGTGAAATGCCCCGTCTCCTCGGTAAAGCCTGTCGGCTTGCCGAAGTTATAAATCTCGCCTTCATCGCCCCAGGCGATGACAGCGGCAGAGACATTCTGGTATCCGTATGCAAGGTTCTCGCCGTAGCTACCTTTCTACAAAGGCGATGTTGGCATCATTGGCTCATGGTCTTGGGGATATTGATACACACCGAATGTTTCCAGATACAGGCTTCTGCCCACTCGCGCGAGTACTCGGCTAGGGTGTCGTTCCATTTTAGTGGATTTGCATCGTGGTTGGCGCGGTACTCGTTTGTGATTTTCAACATGTCATCCTTGAACTCGTTGAGGGAGGTGTAGGATGGTGATAGGGGCGCGGTTGGTGTTGGCGCGGGCACTTTTACCGTGGTCCAGACGGTTACTATGTCGGCGTTTGCGCTGAATATTTGCCTGGTGAGGAGCATAAGGATGACCAGCCATCGCGTAGTTTTGGTGTGATTGTTTCGGTCCATTTTAATGGGTAGGAGGATTTTCTTTTTCCCTTGAAGCTGTGGATAGGTGACGATCGTAGTTGAAACTTGCTATTGCATGATAGATGGGGGGGGGGTTTTGTCTAATGTTTGGATCAATAGCAGTAGCGCCAGGCTCCGATCCGGGTTTGGACGCGGTCCTAAGCTGTGACGACGTCTTTTGGATGGAAATGTGGTGATGCAATAACCGTATATTGTCTATTATATCAGGCAGCCATGGCCATTTGTATACTATGTCCTCATAGAAACTGGCACATTGCAGGTATCTAGAAAATCAGTCATATAATCTTCGCAGATCTTGGGAGACGTACTCAACACCTGAAGGATGAAGATTCCTGGGGTCAAAATCAGGGTGAAAACGAAGGTTTAAAGTCCAAGTCATTTTGAAATTTTCAATCTTTAGAATGTAACCGGGCAGGGGGACAAATGGATCGAAGAGTCACTTTTCTTCATGTCAGTTTCAGACACTGCTGTGATGTTCCAGTAGCCGCCGGTGTTGACGTCAGACTCTTCAAGGTGTTGCATCTTATCAGTTTCAAGATTTCATCTTGGATTCATCTTTATAAGTTTTGTGCAGACTGTCTGGTTTCGTCTCGTTTCACTTTGGTCTCGCTGAACCTGATTATTGGAGATGTTCAACTTGTCTATGTATCAAATTCCTAAGCTTACATCTTAAATAAAAGACCAGCTAAAAAAGGAATCACAAGATCACAGAAGCAGCCGATTATTCTTGTGGAAATAGAAGCAAATATCGAGCACAGTATTGTACATCAATCATATATAGATTCATGAATCTACTCTAGAACATTCCATGCTTGTCCGCATAGGTAAGTATGCGCCACTCGCCATGCAATTCCCGGGGGGTATCGGTATCTATTTACATCACATTGCAACCAATTCCATACATAGCCCGTTCCACGTCCCGCTTGACGTGGTACCAGTCAGCCCGGCGCTCAGCAAATTCGTAGACCTCTTCCACCCGCCAAATTCCATGGAACCGATCCGCGTCAGCGATGACAGTTGCCAGTTCCTTGGCATCGCCAGGATCGATCAAGTAAATCTGCACGAGCTCACGGAATGCCGTAAAATAGAGAAGGAGCTCGGTGTTTCGCAACGTTTGGATATACTTGAAATAGTGGTTCATGTCGCTAGAGAAGTTAAGTCAGTTTGGAAATCTGCGCAACTGAAGATCGAAATACATACCTAATCAACTTGAGGGATCCCTCCACGCTGATGCGCTGTCGCTTGAGGTGTTTACATAGAGCGGTGAATAGGCGGAGCCCGACTTCTTGATTGAACACATCTAATGTGCTCTTGTCCGTGCTCCCGACGAGCATTTGAGTGTGCGATGAAACCACGTCGACGACAGCGATGGCGACTTCGCTGACGCCTACGTCCATTGTCTGCCGGTGTGGATTCGAAGAAACGCCGGGGTTGAAATCGGTGGCTAGTTGTCGCGTCGCCAGAATGTAGTCCACCTCTTCCATGAGAACGTCGATGCCCTTGTTCAAGCCAGCTGCGACGCGTGCATCGAGCATTTGTTCGAACTTTTTCTTCTCTTTGTTGGCAGAGTCCACAAAATCGTTTCTATCAGTCAATCTCATGCCGATCAACTCCTGCTCATAGAATACATCTACCATTTGCAGGATCAGATCACCAACATTGACCAGTTCCAGAAAAGTGACCAGGGGCTCAACCCCAGATTGGTCACGCTCCCCTTGTTCGCGAGGTCGATAGTTGGATAGATGATCGACAGCCTTATCAAATCCAACGATAACGTGCTGGTATCCCAATATGCGTAGCAGCGTCACGAAGATTGCCTCACATTTTTGCTTCGCCGCATGGCCGAATTCGCCGCCAAGTCGCACAAATTGAGCGGCTCTCTCTAGACTGGACTTGGCGGAATGAACTAGATCAAGTGCAATTTCAATGCTAAACAAGGAACGGATACCCTCCATCTTCGTCTTCATGATGGCCGCTTTTGCTGCCAGCTCGGTAGTTGGAACTTCCTCGACAGCCACTGGGGCAGGCAAGGAAAGCGTGGAAAATCGGTTGGTATTTTTGGGTGCTTGCGACGGATTTGGACTGCTTGTTTCCGTGTCTGATTTGGATTCTTCGGTCGCTTTAGTACTTGAAAAGCTCGGTAGGATATTTACCGGCATCATGATCACTTTCTTGAAGGACGTAAGGAAGTCTCGTTTGTCGGCTTGGCGATTAACATTTGACATCAAGAAAGACTCTGTCGAGGCCGCTTGTTCAGAGAGATGCCGGTCCCACTCACTCACAGTAAATTCACAGGCTTTCTTGAAAAAATCAAGCTCTTCTGCCAAATACAGATCAAGGTGTGGTTCATATATCTTGGTCACAACGTTATCAAGATACTCATTGAATTTGACATCAGAGCCTCTGATGGGAAGCAGGGCCTCCGAGAGGTTCATGCATTGGACGAAAGTCGCAGAAACTGCAGTGAGATATGATTTGATGCTGACACGATGCAATTCATCAAAAATTGCGGTGAGGAAAGGATCCAACACATCGTGGCCAACTTTAGTCATCAACCTAGATGTGACATCCAAATTCGGGTGGAAGACGCTGTTCATAATAGATATTTCCTCATTGAAGGCAACGCCGAGACGCGTGAAAAAAGCTTGCGTCTGCACCATTTTGATCTGGCCGGTCGATCCATCAATGCAGGAAGCGACACTTCCTAAGTCGGACTTTCGAGCAATCAGGTGATTTTGATGGACAAAGAGGTCCACGGTAGCTTGCCCACCGTTGAGTGTCCATAGAATGTGAGCATATTTCCGCATAGTCCCATCAATGTCATCTGTTTCATACCCTTGACTAAATTCCTTCAGCGCAGCAGTCTCAAACATCGAGACCGTATGCTCCAAACTGTCCACCCGCCCGTCCCATCCTTGTGTCATATCAGATTTAGAGAACATTAGCAACTGTGCCAGCATTTGCGCTTGGGCCTGGGGATCTTTGTACTTCGTGAAAACTAAATTTTCACAGGAAGGTCCACTTCGTGCGATGTCCTCATAAAATGGTGCCAGTTCAGCATGTATCTTGCCGTATTCCTGACGCGCCTCGCCACGGATTGACCTGACATTTTTCAACACCGTCAGGACGGGGTCATCCAAGATTTCCTGAAACACAGTTGGCTGCGACGCGGCATTCACTAATTCAATCTTATCAAATCCATCCGATATAGTTTTCAAGTCATTGGAAGGGTCGTTGCTATCAGTGATCGCAGGGACTGGTCCATCGCCTAACTCGGCCTCCTCTTGCTGCTCAACGACCTTCATGTTGGCGATTGTCCCAAATACCCCCTCGGCATGCTTTCTAGCATCTACTTCATCCCAGCACCCAATTTGTTTCAGCTTGTGTACCCATCGAGTATCATCATAGGCCATCTCGTGCATAAGCTTGCAAGACCGTGCTGCTCGGATCAGATCAACAGGGCCGACGTAGTCAAGAATAGAGGAGACGATCTCTTTTTTTTCCTCCTGTCAGCATGTGATTTTCCCACTACCGCATTTCTTCATGTCACGTACCTGCCGGAAGAGCAGCTCTGGAGATGCTTTCCATTGATGCCATGCGCAGCGAGGCCAGCACATCTCTGCGTGGCCGAGCTGCAGCCGCGGACCCTTTTTTCACACCAGACATATTGTGTTCCTGAACTGTTCATCGGAGGAGAAAGCGCTCGTGGGAAGCTCTGGGTTTGAGGCAGCCTCAGATTCACTCCAAACTGTTCCGCGGGGTTGTGGAGGTGGTATGGCCTCGATATCGAACAGACACTGCGTGTTCGGGGTAGGTTGGGGGTCAAACTATCATGCACACATCCTCGCATCTAACCACACATTCTCAACTGCAAATCAGGAACCACATTTCAATGCTGCACGATCACGCACGGACAGCGTCCAACGCCGCCGCCTCCTCCCCCGGCTGGCAAAATGTACACCGCTCTCATGCATTCGCATTGAGTCCAAATTAAACGACTAGGGCTTTCTTCACTTGACAGAAAATAAGAGGGCTGGGTGATAACCGGTTTTTGGTGCTTTGGAAAGCTCAAATCTGGTAAATGTGTGGCCATGAGAAGAGTTAGTTTCAAAATAGGAAATGTTCGGAGCAGCTTAGTGTCTACATATTTACGCGGCGTGTAGGATCAGTGCTCAACATGGGACGTTACTGTCCGAATTTCAACATTCTTATTGAGCCAGCTGGGGCTTCAAAGTCACATGGATTAATGGGATTCTTCCTGACATAATACAAGTTACAAGTGAAACTGTTCTAGCTAAACATAGCAGTTATAGCAGTCCTTAGCCTTGTATGGAAATATAAAAGAGATCCCGAGATACCCTCACGTCAGAGGAAGACTGTGAGTGTTGGGAAAAAGATAGACTGGTACGGTACATTCACATATAACTATAGCTGTTAATTAGCAACCTGATTTGAAGATCGTCCAGCTAGATTCGAACAGAACAGTGCTGTTCCGGTGATGCGTGTTTTTCTCGGTGAATCCCGGGATACGCACAACCGGAGAAAAAAAGAGACGATAACACAGGACAAGAAAAAGACAAAGAAGCTACGTACCGAATGTTTTCAGTTGATGTAATAAATGACTAGGTTTTGTATAGATCATTCATAGCAAGTCAGCAGAATTGTGATGTTCCGAGAGTCGGTTCTCTAGCGTGGCCGGGAGCCAATCAGAGCAAGGGGGTAATCATCAATGTCAAGTTTCTTCGACTTCGACCTCAACCTCCAGCACCTCTCTCCTGTACCATCCCCTCTCCTCTCCCCACCCACCCCTCTCTCGCTTTGGCGATACAGCACCCATTCCCAATCAAATTCAATTGCTTGGGTTAAACTTCGTCATGCTGGGACGCTCGATTCTGCGCGCGTCCAACCGGGCCATCGCCCGCCAGTCCCTCGGGAAGTCCACGGTACGCCCTTACCCCATTGACCTTCACGGAAGAGGACAATCAATTCTTTGCATGTCCATTGGATCACATGAGGGTTCTGTTGCTAACCTTCAATAGCGTGCCTCTTCCACTGCCGCCGGCGCCGAGGCCGCCAGCTCCCCCTTCTACCTCACACTCACTGCTGCGCTTGCAACTGCCGCCGCCGCCGGTTCCACCGCATGGTACTACCACCTCTATGGACAGGAGGCCTTCGCCATGACACCTGCTGAGGAGGGGTGAGTGAAATTGTCCAGGAGGATCACCGTACTTGGGGCCTTGCCGCAACCGAGCATTGTGCGATCCATGTTGAGAACAAGGGTGGATGCTAACGGGTGATTTTATCCAGACTCCACGCTACCACGTACCCTTGGGTGCACGAGCGTTTCAACAAGACCTTTGACCACGCCGCGTGAGTGCTCTTTCCCCAAACTCGGATTTTTGCTTTCGCCAGCACGCATTGTACTGACCCTGCCCAAGTCTTCGCCGTGGTTTCCAGGTCTACCGTGAGGTTTGCGCCTCCTGCCACTCTCTCACCCGTGTCCCATGGCGCTCATTGGTCGGCACCATGCATACTGTCGACGAGATGAAGGCCTTCGCCGAGGAGCACGAGTACGACACCGAGCCCAACAACGAGGGCATCATCGAGAAGCGCCCCGGCAAGCTTTCCGATTACATTCCCGCTCCCTACCCCAACGAGGAGGCCGCTCGTGCCGCCAATGGCGGTGCTCTTCCTCCCGATCTCAGCTTGATCATCAAGGGCCGCCACGGTGGCTGCAACTACATCTTTAACCTGCTCACCGGTTACCCCGATGAGCCTCCCGCTGGTGCTGCCGTCGCCGAGGGCATGAACTTCAACCCTTACTTCCCCGGTACCGGTACGTTACGACAAGCCTATGCTATTGTTTCCTTCTAGCATTTCTGACTCAGTGATAGGTATTGCTATGGGCCGTGTCCTGTTCGACGGTGTTGTCGAGTACGAGGACGGTACCCCCGCCACCACCTCCCAGATGGCTAAGGATGTCGTTGAGTTCCTGAACTGGTCCGCCGAGCCCGAGATGGACGAGCGCAAGAAGATGGGTGTCAAGGCCGTTGCCCTTCTGACTGGTCTCTTCGCCATCTCTGTCTGGGTCAAGCGCTACAAGTGGGCCCCTCTTAAGACCCGCAAGATCGTGTACAGCCCCCCGATCGCCCCCCGTCGTTAAATGTTGCAGCCAGGCCTGTTTTGAGTGGGAAAAATATGAGAGGCTGAAGAGGCCGGTACGACTTGGGGAACCCATACCACATCCCCGGTTTTGATACAAGTGCTTCAAAGAGGCCTCTCTGTTTCATCATCTTTTGTGTCTATCTATTGGTCGCTGTGTCTGTGTTTTGTTAGAACGCTCCCCGAACACCTGTATCTGTATCCTAGATATATTCTTTTTTTCATTTCCTTTCGAAAACTGTGTGCTTCGAGGAGTCATCTGAATTTAATTTCCTTTGTGATTATGACAGATGAGACCATTGCATGCATGTAAGTCTCTAGAGTTGCAGTTAATGCCTGTACGTGCATGTCTGCATGATAGGAACATGATGTGGTGTGTTCTGTGACTCGGCAATGAGATGAGTAGTGTACAATGATCATTTTCTAATTATTGTATATGCAAGAAATTACACGGCTAGGAAATCCAGAAAGAAAAAAAAACAACAGGGCCCAGAAGCAACTTTAGGCCTGGGTATCATCTATACTCCGCTCGCCATCCCCGAAGACAGGAGCAAAGAAACAACCATAGCTATTCCACATCCCCGAAAACACAATGTTGACCAGAGCCACCAGCCATGGCGGGAAATGACCATCAGGACCAGCAAATAGCCTTGATAATGCCAAAGACAAGATCAACCAAGGAGCCCACAGAGCAAGGAAGATCACTTTCCCAATCTTCTGGCGCATAGTTGTGATATGAAACGTTTTGATCTGCGCAAGATACTCTTGATAGGAAACAGGCAGGTCATGCTCCGCAGCGCCAGCCTTGATCAAACCAAGGTAGCGAGCAGAGGGCTGGGCATAATTAGGATCCGGTCGAAAATGCAAGCAGATGGCATACCACCACGACAACTTTGGATCACTAGACAGCAGTACGACACCGCTTTTCTGAGAATGAGATTCCATGCGAGCATTGTCCGCAGCTGGTGAGAGTAGAGTGCGTGCCTTGAAAGATAGTGTCGTGGGGATATCCGGGACGGGGTCGGAGGAGTCGTACGGTTGAGGGAAGGGGTGGCAATCTACGACACAGTCGCGGTATCCCCGACCACCGCCCTCTGTGGCGATGATCTTTGCATAGTCGGCTAGTGTGACTTCGTAGACGACTCCAACTAGAGGTTTATGCCATTGACGCTTATCACAGCCCGAGACTACCTCCACCTGCTGTGTCCGACCCATGAGCGCTGCCTTCTCTGACAGACACTCACTATCCAACACATCTGTCTCGTCATCTTCGAGTTCGGTCTCGTCGTATGTCGGTAGAGAAACATCTCTGTATTGAGTGCCCGCGAAACAGGGCTCTGCGTACGGAATTCCGGGAAGATCGAAGGTGAGACGGAGTTCTGGGACAAGCACAGCGATCTGCGAGAGTGGTTTGATGCCGCGCACTCCGTGGAAAGTCTTGGAAGCTAGGTTCGACCCGTACGCGAGGTAGAGAACCGTTTCATTCCTGACGACGGTTTCCGACACACCTATCCCGTGTTCCTGCTGCGTAGAGATCTTCTCTGGAAGAGTTTCATCTTGATCGAGGGAAGCGAAGACGGTTGAGGCACGACGGCGGTAAACGTTCGTTGTTGGAATAGGGTCGGCCTCGAGTTCGACATTCGCAGGCTCAACAAGGGGGGTAGGGAGAAGGCCTCGAAGCCGGTCCAGAGGCAGGGTTGCGTTGTACCAGCATCGAGATTCTAGCGCCTCTTCGTTGGCTTGAGGCGCGTGTTGTGTCATTGGGCGTATGAACGTGAGACCTGTCACTTGCAGGGACAATTACAATTAGGCGTAAGTCAGCTGGTAAAGTTGAATTGGTGCATAGTCAGCGAAACGGTGGCGATTATTAATCGTGGACGGAGCACGGATCGCGGAGCTTGCACGGGCCGATCGGGTCTTCGAGGATTGAAGAAGATGCATTCATTCTGAGGGTGAGTGGGAAGTAAAGAAAGGTAGTCATGCTAGATCTTGTCTGATGAGTATAGGGGAGAACAGTATGGGGAAGCAGGCGCTTTTGAGATGATCTCAAACATGCGACAAGCACGCAACTGAAGATAAAAATAGAAAACCCTGTTCCCAGAATCAAAGTCTTCGCATTTCGAGATCTGTTCAGGGGCAAGTACAGGGTAGACTATAAGAAAATGCAAATTCAGGAACTACATAAATCTGCAATTGCTCGTCCTTAGTAACGACAGTTCGAGGATGAACAGAAATTAGATTAAAATCGGAACCTAGCTATCTTGATCATATCTACAAATCAACCTTTGATCATCACTAATCTATAGATTTGTTTCATAATGTATACAGTAGCAGGGCATTTTGAAGTTATTGTTGAGGTATCATGTGATCCATGCTATGTGCTGGAGCAGAGCTTAGTTCTACACTCTCAGCAGCTGGACAGCTCTGGAGAGCTCCCTTTCTTTTACATCCTCATGTTCTATTTCTAATGATATGATGATTGCAACCATGAAGACAGTCCAGGGCTCGTCTGCCCCAACTAACCCAAAAATGGGAAGTAAGGCGACTGTCCAAGATCTGGCGAATTCGGAGTATGGGCTCACAGGCTCAGGTCGCCAAAAGCCAAAAGCCCCTCCACCCCAGCCTTCGGAGTCGAAGATTGTTCGACTGAAGCTCACAAAACCAAGGCCACCCAAGCCTAATCCCCAAGAAGTGGACTGGGATGAAGATCTTCGTCCTACACCTAATGAGATACTTGAGAAAGAAGGGACATATGGAGGAACCTTCGTTGCTGATACCGACCCGAAAAGACTGAAGACAGTTGACAGAAACAAAGGTAGCAAGCGAACAATGCCATCAAAGCCACAGATAACCTCGGCAAAACGCAGAAAATCGAACACAAGGAAGAGTACTACTACCAACGAGCGCAGCACAGGAGGGCCACAATTGCCATTGATAACGCTTGCTGCAAGCACTTTGCGTCCCGCAGCCCCTCTGGGTAACAGTGAGCCTGCTGAGAAAGGTCCAGTGGAAGATCAAAGCAAAGATTATGCCACGAAGCGCAATGGACAAGGGCCCGAAGCTTCCCACCAACCTTCACTACCGACGGATGACCACAGCAAGCATGGAGATAACAGCAAGAGGGGTGTGATCGTCGATACAAAAAGCTGCACATCGGTAACAACCGATTCATCATCGGATTTCGAAGATTGTGGCAAAGGGCCGTCTCATACTTCGAAAGTCAGCATCCTAGAGCATCGGGCACAGCCCAATAGAGAAACAAACAAAGGCATACCTGGTCGGGTGATGCCTGAGGTATCCTCCAGTTCCGAAATCGACCTCAAAGGACCGTCTCGTACGACTCCTTCCAAGGTCACCATCCTGGAGTCAAGGGCACTTCCAAAGAGACGCAGCAGCCAGATCAAGATAGTTCATGAAAAATTTCATCCCAAACATCGTGGTAGGGCAGAGAGCGTTGGAAACAAGCTTATTCTTGCGCTCCACGGAGTAGAGCCTTCTCAGCATGAACCATCCAATGATAAAACCGCACCTCTCACTATTTCATCCGATCCAGTGCAACCTGAGGAATCTCCCAAAGATCGGCAGTCCGACCAAGTACCGACTGGAGTGTTGTTGAACCCCCCAGATATTGACAGCGTGCTGGATGGAATAATTCTACTTGAAACGCACCAAGACCAAACCGAGCCCAAGACCGTCAATGCGTCATTGATAACGAAAACCCTTCCGCCCAATGAAGACCAGATAGAACAGGCAGATGATGCAAGCTTCTGGAAGCTTCTCGGTGAAGACAGGTTGTCGACTCCAGCAGGCTCTTCAGAACTTGAAACAGGCAGAGGTTTGCTGGGTGACGGCCCTTCAATCCTTGATTATCACATGGAAATGGAACATATCCCCGGGTTTGCAACCTTGCAACCCATGAGATCTGAGCCGACCATCTCTTCACGCGCCACTAACATCTGCGAAAGCCAGGCAGATAGCTCATCCGAGCCTTCAAATGTAGGAAAATTGAATGATTTCACAGCAGGACGGATTGAGGGACATGGGTCTGGCCATACCCCTGAGTCTCAAAAGCCCCTTCTCCGCCATCAATCCCACGTGGAACTGAATTCGGCATCTCCCGTACCCCCAAAAGCAGTTCCCAAGACCAGCATTGTCGACAGCAACGGTAGTCCTCGACTCATGCCTCAGTTAGCCAAGAGCATGTTTGTGACTCAGTTTAACCTGGATGGCGAAAAAAGTCCCGAAGAGACAACCAGTGTCGCTGACACCAGTCCAAGTGAACACGACCGAGATTTATACAGTATATCCACCGAGAGTAAGTATGAGGGGCTCATGTGGACCAAGTTCCAGAGAGACATGTTCCTGGAATACGGGATCCAAATGGAAAAACTGGAGAGATCTCACTCATGGCCGCCACCTGAAAAGGACAACCCATCATTTTCTCAGGAGGGTACTGCTGATAGGACCAAAATTGAGAAACCATCGACAGTTGGACCAAGTTCTTCACAGAGAACGCTCGACGAGAGAGCATTAGGTGATGCTCCTTCAAAGAATCATGGGGACCTTGACCAGTCATTCCGAACAGAAATATCGGCATCAACACAGCCAGCTGCTAAGTCGCACCAATCCTTTACGGTGGGCGATCCCGACGATTTGGAATGGATATCAACTTTGCAAGTGGCGCAGAAGGACGCACACCACCTGCTTCAACAAACAAATTCGGTCAGTCGAAACTCCTTACCGAAATGGTACAGATAGGACTGTGTTAACTGCGATTTTAGCATTTGTCCACCCAGCTGGCGGCGGAAAAGGCCACCATCAGTCGAGTCCTGGAGATCTACCGAGAGGGGTGTAGTCGAATTCTCGATGATCTGTTCCAGGCACAAGAAGCAAGAATGCAGCTGTACCAGCAGCAAGTTCAATCCGTCAAGGAACAACATGCAGACATATGTCAAGATCTGGTTCGTGGACTGCAGGAGCTTGACCGTCGAGTGCAACAAGGGCCAATCTGAGAGAGTGGGTAGAGGGGCGAAATCACCGGTTACCTATATTATTCCGAGGGTGACACAAGGTTGAGCAGTATTGCATGCAAGCAACTAGATTCTTATACCAATATCATATGATATCAATATGTTTCAGTCCACTTATACAATTTTAAATGAAATGCGATCGCCGTGATTGGAACTCCAGCGCCGGGCCAAGTTCACCGAGGATCACGTGGAAATCCTTATACTCTGAGCTTTTGACTCATTCACAAGCTGTTTCTTTCGATATTTTTATTTTGAAGAAACTGTTATTCTCCTGTTCATCATTGCACTTACCTCAATTTCTTTGATCTATCTCATTTGCTCTCTAAAACCTAACATTCCTCTCCCTCCCTCCTCCCCTCCCTCCGATGTCGGTGAGTCAAGCCCCTCCATTTTGAATTTCACACTTCTGACGTCGCCAATTCCACAGTTCTTCATTGATAACCCTAATGTGGGCAACCACAGTCATTTGGAAGATTCTCGCAGTATGTATGGCCTTTTTTTTTCAATTGGCAATTGGTTACTAATAGCTCAAGTTCTCGGCTACAACCCTCTCACCCCGCCCAATCTCCTCCAGCATGAAATCGCATTGACTGAGAAGTCACGACAGACCGTCCTCAATGGACGCAATGAAGCCGTCGAGATTGTCCATGGCACAGATACCAAGCGTCAGCGTCTGATGGTAGTCATCGGACCATGCTCCATCCACGACCCAGAAATGGCCCTTGAATACTGCGATCGCCTACTGAAGATGAAGGAGAAGTACACCGACGAGCTGCTGATCGTGATGCGCTCGTACCTCGAGAAGCCCCGAACAACCGTCGGCTGGAAGGGCCTGATCAACGACCCCGATATCGACAACAGCTTCCAGATCAACAAGGGTCTCCGCATATCGCGCCAGCTGTTCGTCGACCTGACCAACAAGGGCATGCCCATCGCCAGTGAAATGCTCGACACAATCTCCCCCCAGTTCTTGGCCGACTGTCTGTCCATCGGTGCTGTCGGTGCACGCACCACCGAGTCCCAGGTCCACCGTGAGCTTTCCTCCGGTCTTTCTTTCCCTGTCGGATTCAAGAACGGCACCGACGGCTCGCTCGATGTCGCCATTGATGCTATCGGCTCTGTCAAGCACCCCCACCACTTCCTGTCGGTCACAAAGCCCGGTGTTGTCTCTATCGTCGGAACCGTCGGTAACCCTGATTGCTTCGTTATCCTTCGCGGTGGAAAGAGGGGCCCCAACTACGATGCGGCTAGCATCGCGGATGCCAAGTCGAAGCTTATTGCCAAGGGCATGCGTCCCCGTCTTATGGTTGACTGCAGCCACGGTAACTCCGAGAAGAACCACAAGAACCAGCCCAAGGTCGCCGCTGTGCTTGCTGAACAGCTCGCTGCTGGCGAGGATGCTATTATGGGTGTTATGATTGAGAGTAACATCAATGAAGGTGAGCCTCTTGGAGATCTTGCTACATGTAAAAAAGCTGTTTTATGCTGACCTGTTCTAGGCAACCAGAAGGTCCCCGCAGAGGGCAAGGCCGGTCTCAAGTACGGTGTCAGCATCACGGATGCTTGCATCAACTGGGAAGACACCGAGTCAGTGCTGGAGACTCTGGCTCAAGGTGTTCGCGCTCGTCGCGAGAAATCGGAAACCAAATAAGCTGTGTTGAGATGTTCATGTTAAAAATACGACGGGGCCTTTCTTAAGCGTGTCAAAGTGGATTAAAAGTTCAATTATAATTTCTTTTGGCCCTGGAGCTTAATATGTTCCACCCTGGGTTGCCCTTACAGCTTCATTCTTTTTTTGGCAATTTAATCGAAGAGTCCACTTAGACTATTATGCGCTTTCTCATTTTAAGTGGAGATATGGGGCCAAAATCAGCCCTATGCCGTCATCAGGGTCCACGGCTGTTGTAGCCGACCTCGGGATTTGGCCTGAAATGCTTATGCATCTTGGATGGAAGATTTCTATGGGGAAAAATGAAGAGGAGATGGATTGTATTCGCTACGGTCCCATGCTAGAAACTCTGGCTATCTATACAATGAAATTACACGAGGAACACCAATTGGTGCGTCATGTTAACATCGGTTCAATTTGCATCGGTTCCATCTGCAGCGGTTGGATTCGTAACAGTTGGATCCACACAGTTGGATTAGCAAAATTTAACTACTGATCCGATGATAAGATGGACGTGGTTCTTGAATGTCGAGGAACGCTCGCAGGGAGGTCATCGACCCTAACGAATGGCCAAGGCAGCCGGTAAACGACGTTGTCTACCAAAGTCACACCTCTTGTCATGAAACCAGGTGTGCAGTCACCATATTGAGAGAACAATTTGTACCCTTGCCTGTGACAGAATAGACCCATTGCTTCCCGCTTAATCAAGTAGGAGAACTTAAAATCGTCCTGGAAGCCCAGAGCAGCGAGTTCATTATCATTGTACTCATTCTGTCCTTGGTAGGAGAAAGTTCTAAGAGAAGGGTGAGAGCCACGCTGTTTGTGTCTCATCAATGACTCTAATGCCTCGAGCGCTTCCATTTCGAATTCAACCTGGGTTGAGGTTTGCCAGAGATCAGCCCTTATATGAAGGGCTTCAAGAGTGGATGGCAGTACATCTCGAAGTTTGTAGGCTGTTGTGTCCCAGCCGATGAGAAAGTTGAGCGGTAGAGAGGCAGTTCTCAGATTGGGAAACTTCTTCAAAATGCCATGAAAAGGCTGACCAACTTCATCCATCGCACGCAGACGGAAGCTTTCTGCACAACATGGGAGCAACTCCATGCTGATAGAAAGATGCTTGATCGCTTGACCTGAAGTTTCTAAGGACCGAAGGAGGCACTCGGGCTCTTTGAGAAACTCGGCTGTTGTCCGGCATTTGTAGGCCATGCCCACGTGCAAGGACTCCAGATATGGTAATTGACATAGTAGTGTGGTGATGTCCCCAGGCAAAACAAGTGTCTTGGCAACAACAAGACTGCGCAGATTTGGCAAATTCAAGAGTCTTTTTGGCATCTCCCCAGGGAAGTTGCAAATCCCCTCTATTTTATAGAGCCATATCTCGAGAGTCTTCAAGGAAGGAAGGTGAAACCAGGGGATGAATTGATAGGTTTTGCCAAGGTTGACACCGTCGCGGAACTGCTTGAGAGGGAAATTACTTCCATAGTCGGCCATTTCCAATTTTGAGAACTGGCTCAATGTGCCAGGGGGTACGTTGCCGAAGAGAGCATGATGCAACATCTCACCAGGGAAGCCCCCTTCAAGCACGAATGAAAAGTCTAGTCGAAGACTGCGAAGGCTGTGAAGTTGCGAGACTAGCAGTGTGGCGTAGGCGTAGGCGTCTCCATCAAACAGTCGACAGATCCACTTTGTTTCGAATCTTGTCGGAAATTTCGCGTCTCGAACAACCTTCCGGGCCCATCTCAATGTGGGCCTAAACTGTAGCATTGACTTGGCCCAGTCAAGAATTCCTTTGGGGATTGAAACCTCTGTTCTCTGGGATTCCACATCCCACCATACCAAACTGACATGCCAGATGCAGTCAGCTAAATCTGGTCGCTCGGAGAGAGTCCGGAGGAGGAGCAAGATTTTGTGAATCGGGGGTTGCTTCCAGTCCCAGTGGATTGATCGATACAGGAAAGGCTCAGCTGAAACACGAGTGTCGCGAGAAACTAGTGATAGGTTGTTCAAGTCCCGTTGCGGCAGACACTCTAGCATCAGCAGCCAGCAGTCCTGAGGGAGTTGAGTGAGGGGTGTTGACTCCATCCTAGACGATTTTTGATTTTGAACGGAAATTCTAGGTCAAGATGGTCAAGATAATTGACAATGCAATCCATCGATATTAACTCACTATGTTCAAGGTGGAATTCGCCTGGAAAGTCTTCCTCGCAGTGTCCTGAAAGACGAGAAGAATGGATTTCAAGAGGCAAAACAGATGGAAATAGAGAGGAGAGAATTAAAGAAGGGAGATGAACGTTGAAAGGAGAGAAGGAAGAGGAAGAGAGAAAGGACAAGATAGGGACGAGAGAGGAAGGCAAAATCAGCCAAACTCAGCCAAGTCAGCCAAATCAGCTGAAAGGACATGGCCTGAACACCAGAACACCTGAAGAGAGGATATTCACATTTTATATTAATACAAGGGAGTTTTAAAGTCTATGATGCAAGCTGCAAAAGATGAACGTCGAACAGACGGATCCTGATGTATCCCATGAACACCAGCAGCACAAGGCTTGACATCCACTCCAGCCGGATAGCGACCAGCACCATATTGACCCACAAACCCAGTCCTCACTTCCTCGAACTTCCGTTTCCTCGAACCCTGCAGCTCACCCAGACCAGCCCTCTGAACGATACCGAGGTCCTCCAATCCCCCATCCGAACCAACACCAAGAGACCGAGTAGGGGCATCACCAGTATCAACATCCAAGACCGTACCTTTCCCATCCTTTCCAAAAGCCCAAACCCTCACTCCACCCCCCGAAGACTGCAAAGCAAGCTCCACAGTCCCCTTTACAGACCCGATCTCTTTGCCATAGATCTTAAACGGCCACATCATAGCCATAGGCCGATACGCGACAGACAAAAGAAACTCCCAATCCCCATTCTGGTTCTGCACCAGACTCTCACGCCGGTTATGGGGCCGCTCTGAATCAACGTACCAGCCGAGCGCGAGATCGCTGGCGCCCATAATTCCGGCACCTTGGCGTTCACGCTCTTTGCGGATCACGTTGAATACGTCCGAGGGAATAGAGTATAGCACGAGGCGATCGTCATAGGCTGCTACAATACGGAGACCCCAGCGGAGGTCGGAGCCCGCGGTGAAGGTTGTTGGCACTGGGAGGTCTGTTGGAGGCGGAGTTGTGTTTGAGGGGGATGGGGATGGGGGTGGTGTCTTGATATGCCCGTCTTGGTTTGAGAAAGGTGGCGGAATGCAGACGAATGCGCGGGTTAAGTTTGCTGGCCCGCCAATTGGGGCGTCGGTGCCGATGCATAGTAGGTTTGTGCGTGGCTCAATGAACATGATATGGAAACCGTCGTTGATGGGGACTGCGCGATAGTGGTGACAGTGTGTTGCGCGAACGAAGCTGCGGGATGGGGCATGGGGAATGCAGCGGCGACTAAAGGACTGGATATCTGCCAGGAAATGGAATTGGTTGTTTTTCGAGTCGAGTTTTGGTGATGATGTTAAGGATGAATATGACGGGGAGGGTGAAGGAGGACATTGGCATTCGTGCAAGCCTGGTCCTGATAGTGAAGAAATGAGACGTAGCTCGCTAGGTGTTTCGGGACTACTTGGGAGGAAATGAAGGATTTCGGAGGGTTGAGGGAGGGCGAAGTGTTTGCGTTGTTCATTGCGTTTTGTATCGTTCACGCTGTGAATTTCGATGCCCGCGGCGCAGCCGAAGGCGACTATCTGCCGGCCGGGATAGAGAGCAACTGTTCGGGGTGGGGTTTCCACTGTGCAGATGTCATAGAAAAAGTGACGGGAAGAGGTAGCCCTTTTGCCATTGGAATGAGACCCTTTGGTGGCTAATTCTGTGGCCCAAGCCATATCCAAGTTACAGACCATGCCAACGCGATTGCAAAGCAATGCAGCGATGGTAAATTGGGGCCTGCTGGTGTCGATGGTGGCTGAGATAACATCAAACGGACACGAGATGCGCGAGACAAGCGCCAAATGACCTTCGTTGAAGTCTGTTATAGATGTCCTAGACTTTCGACCCAAAAGAAAATATATGAATATCATACAGCCTGTTGTTACGAGCAGATAGTTGCTGCACCTGCTAATGCTGAAAGTTGATGCCTCGGACCCTTTGCCTTCGATCATCTGTAAACCGGGATGAAGTCGAGTGCGGTGGGATTTTTTTCTTGTAGAATCAGACAGACTTGAAAAGTCTACCACGGCGGTAGTCAAAAAACCCGTCTTCTCGACATTCACCTTTCGCCCCGAAAGGAGACATTCTGTCGCCAAGCGGCGGCTCATTCTCCAGGCATCGCTCTCATCTAACACGGAGATGCGTGCCGTTTGGCGGTCTTGCAGCCATGCATCCCACCATCCTGCTCTTTTCAGCATGCTCTCAAGTAGCCTGGGATTAAGGCTCACCCGCATCCACTGTGAGCATGTCCGCCGGGCATTGTCGAAGTCCCGTGGTGTCAGCATGGAGAAAATCTCCAACAGGATTTCTGTTGGTGCAACATTTGCCGCGGAAGGGGACACTTTGCTCGTCAAATTGCATTTTGAGAGCCGTTGGCCCCGTGACAAGTATTCTGTCTGAGACTTATTCAAAACTGAAGGTAGTGACCTCGTTGAGCTTCGTTTGTTGTGCGTGATGGAGGCATTTGGAGAGACCTGACGGGCATAGTCTTGACTCGAAGGCCGCAACGCCGGCATGTTGATACACCCTTCTCGCCAAAAGAGCGATGAAATCTTAATCCTCGCCACTGAATTTTAGTATCTTGTTCAATTTCAGAGCATTGCTTGGAACTCAGATGGTGAAATTGGTGTGATGGTAATTAATGAATTGGCGTCACGCAGTGCCTTCAGCAGTTGAAATACACCAAGTCACAAGAGATTGCAGATGAATGACGCAAAGACCCGAGGGAAACTATTTCGCCACAGAATCAAGTCTATACTAAGCGTCCACGGATGAATCGTCTAGCACACTAGTAAGCTTAGTGATCTGCTAGTTCTCGAGCCCGACCTGTCAGTTTTTTTTTTTTAAGAAGAAAACTTCACCCCAAGAAATGGTTATACAGGACTCACGATAATAGAGTTGGAATGAATTACATGCTAGGTGCAAGGTTGTATCAGGCTCACGTCTGAAAGCGGTGCAGTGACAGGAAATGTGGATGGGATTAAATGAAACCCGAGAGGTTCGAGGGTGAGGCAAGGGCTGTTTAATTAAATGCTGCACCTCATTTCCAGAGGCGATAACAGACTAAATTTGCCATCTGATTTGTACACTTGCTCGTTCTGACGACATGGACAAAGTAGAATCGAAGGCTGAGATGTCGCGGAAATCTGACAAAAAGTGGAGCACGTCAAGAGAGACATGTCAGAAGCGAACATGCCTATTTAGGTAGCACGATGACTCGGTACGGAGTAGTTATAGCCCTACAGTGCAGTACATGCAGCCACTGCCATTCCATTGAACAGTTGAACCTCCGGAGGCAACGGGGTTCAGGATCTATTGGCCTATAAGCTTGACGTGATCAAGTTAGATTTCACTTCGCCGTAACTCTGGAAGTCCCGTCACAATAGACACCCATGTTCAAATGGAACCAATCCATTATCAAGCAACCCTGACATTCCAGAGGATCTCGGGGAAGAGAATTAAGGAATGCGCCCCGGATGCAGCGCCTGACTTGGCATTTTATCGAACCTCACCGCTTACGTGCATAGATCTCTAATCGGGCGATGATCATTATAAGACAATAAACACTGTCCATGAACAATTAGGACTTAGCTTAGTACATCCCGCATTCCTCAGCTTTCAAGGATGGGTTGTTTTGTCTCTGTTCTTTTCTTACTGTCTCATCTCCTCACCGCATGAGAGACAATATCCCCCACTCCTCAGGAATGCGCCCCGACCATGTGGACCCCAGGGATTCCAGAAGCTGGTGATTCCGTAGATGTTCGAGGTATGTCCGCACCGGAGGTAAGATCGAGCCGAATTGCGAATTCAATCTTTGGATGCAAAGAAGGGCTATTGGACGGATACAGCATTGCTGTCATGATGTCTACAGATCACAAATTCTGATGTGACCCCTAGCAGAATGATGTCTCAGGCCGCCTCATTGAAGTCAATCTGGTAAATACACTCTGACCGTGGATAATTGTACTAAATTACATACATCGGAATACTGATTCGCTAGAGAGAACCATGAAGTACCCGTTCTTTCGTCATGTGTTGACTTCATGCTGAGATGCTGCCACGTTTCCCGCAAGCTGATTTTAGAACCGAGGAATACAAGAAAAGAGTTAAACGAAGGGCACCCGATTTGGATCTTCACCGAGGGATCTTGGGGACGAGATGTGCCTCGGTTGAAGCCTGCATGGTGTGTCCGAAAGGCAGCCGCTAATGCCTGGCAGGTGCTCCGTAGATAGGCCACATTATTGAAAAGCGACGAAATTCAGGGACCACCAGTATCATACAGAATCGATACTCCACTTTGACAAAAACCGTTCTCATGCAGAAACGAAAGGATTGGAAAATCATATAAAATAAAATTTTAATACCTGCGCAGGAGGGATATAGCGAGGGATGGGCGTAACGAGCCCGCCAAAAGATAGGCAAACACGTCACGCAAGGATATCATAACCATAAACACATATCAGAACAAGATCTTAAACATGAAACGAGGCATCAAAATCGTAAAGCATGATGGGCCAAAGACATGCAGAAAAACGAGCGTTCTGGACAAAAGGCACAAGGGCAGACCATGGGAACAAGAAATCCGCACGACCTGCGAGATCAAATGTTCGGTCTCTGATGAGCCTCGAAATCGGACGCGCCATTTCCATTGCTACGGACGGGGTGGCGACCGGGCAGCCAGGGAGCATGCAGCGGGATAATCAAGCTCGGGTTAACATACTTCTTTAGTCGCAATCCGAGATCTTGTCCGCCAATACGTATCGAAAGGCTATCACGATCCAGACCAGATGGCGGTGAGAGGGTCATTGAACGCGACGGGGAGATGTCGCCACCACCTGGCTGGTCTCGGTTGATACTCTTGAGGGCAATAAACTTCATCAACGGCACGTATGTACGACCAAACCAGTATGAAAACCAAACGGTAAAGCCTAGAAGTGGCACCAGGAGTAGCGATCGGGTGATGGCTCGGCGCAGAGCCAGAACACCAATCATGGCTAGCTGGTGAACCAACAGCCCCAGGAATACACGGTTGCAGATCATCGGCCATGCGCGGCCAGTGGAATGCTGCTGGTGATCCATGGCGTACAGTAATTGGTATTTGTAGATAAATTTGCCGACTGTGAAGTAGATCAGGCCGAATAGGCATATCAGCCACGAGCTCGGGAACACACTGTAAACCACACAGATAACCAATACCAAGATGGTTTGCGGGATGGAAAGTCCATAGCTAAACTTGGGAGGAGCTGACAGCTCCGCATATTCCCGCGGCGTACGGGCCGACAGGAAGTGGAAGGGGTATAGTGCGACACTTCCAAATTCGAGGAGTCGGAAGGGAAAAATGCCCAAGCTCTGGAGAATCAACAGGTTGATGTAGAATGGGGCCAGGCCTTCAAGGGAATTGGCCAATGCGAGGGCAATCGTTGTGGAATCTTTGAATGCATCCCGAAGACTTTCCCAGAACCCATAGAAACCACTTGCTGTTCCAAACACAGTGAACAGGAGGAACAGATTGAAGAACGAGAAGAAGAAGTTCTTGGAGATGACAGATAGTTCCACATCACCACGTGACACCATTCCTTGGTTATTCGAGAGCCCTGCAAAGATGATCAGCTGTTAAAGACTACATGGAGGGGAATATTCAACGGAAGACTAACACTCATACATATAAGGCACACCCACCGTCAACAGCGAGAATGCGAGGGTAGGCAGTCCTGTTTGAACCAACGACTTGATAATCGGATGCTCCTGGAGGAACTCTGCCAGCTGGGGAACGATCGTCTCGAGAGTCTTCAGCTCCAGCAATGAGGCAATAGGAACCAAGAGCACAGACCAAAACACGGTGAGGAATGCAATGATAAAGGTGATCGACCAGGACTGAATCATCCGTCGAGTACGAGGCAAGTAAGTATTCTTCCAAATAACATCTGCTGGCGCCGGCGCAAGTCGAGCGAACATTTGCATAGGGTGTGGATCAAGTATCGCCTGAACAAGCATTTGAGATGCGGCGATGGACTCCATAGTGACGAAAGCAATCTCGGTAGTAAGATATTCTTTCTCTCGGGCGTTTTGGATATGTTCATCAATCTTCCGCAGCTTTTCCTCATAGTAATCAATTGCATCGATCATTCGGGAACGAAGCTTGAATGGACCATACCAGATGCGAACTTTGGGTCTTTCGTTCGAATAGCCCAAGATATCCTCGCTCTCGTGTCTGGGCAGGAGCCTCGACCATTCATCGTCTGCACAACGAGGTTGTTGCTCGGTCAGCGGCATTGTGTTTTCACAGCTCTTTGGGCGCTTGTATCCCATGTATTTTGTCCATGCTCTCTCAAGTTCCCGTATGACTTTCATTCTCTCGTCAATTAATTCGTCCAACTCGCGCCACTGACGGCAAACGGTAATACTCTCGACATTGCCCACTCGCAGGCCTTCCACAAATTCTTTGATTTTGTGTTCGTTCCCCAAGTCATTGGGGATCCCGGACAAGCGAATGGTGCGATCAGTTGTGCTGGTCTGATTCCCAAGATAGGTTTGCCGGGTGCGGATGATTAATTTTGTCTCATCAAGAAGCATGTAGATGGCCAAGCCACTGAAGACATATGCAAACAACACATAAATCCAAAGATATACAGGGTCTGTAACTGGTTTTTCTTTTTCGTTTCCACCAGTTCGACTCATAGTCTGATTTTCAGGG